TTTATTATTGACATCAGCCATGTAAACTAAACAAGTAAACAAGAGCACATTTGCTGTAATAATGTTCATACGTATAGCCAAAATACGAAATATGGCACATTGTATGTGGAACCATTCGATGTTGAAAAAAAAATCTGAATAGCCTCCATCTCATAGAATCAATCGTAAAGAGTGAAGCAGCCGACGAAATGATTCAACCTCTGATAATCCCGGATAGTTAACGCGGGCGCGGACAACGCGAACTTTCGCAACTGCGTGACCTCTCCATCGCGCATCGGCGAAAGCACCGCTGAACAAATATGGAGTGACCGCCGTTACCGGCGGATGGAGGCGCGGTTTTAACACGGCTCGTGCATTTCCCTAATGATTTACAAGCATTATTGGGTATTAATTTCAATCTACGCAGGAGCGAGGGATAGAATGGCGCGTGATGCGGCTCGACGCGGACAGAGAGGGAAGGAGGGAAGGATGACACGAGTGGGGCCCCCGAGGGGACGGCGGCGGGGATCCACCGGGGTGAGGGGGGGGAGGACAGGTCGACGCCGCACGTCGCGGGCTACAAATCAACCGTTCTGAACAAATTATGAATGATATATTCGTTGCGCCCGCTTGATATATGCATATCTCTCGTCGGTGCCTCCAAGCCGCGCGCGCGGTCGTGGCACTGCAGCTTTGGAAAATCCGACCGTACTTTGCATACAAACGCGAGCGCGCCCGGCCGTGCGCGCATTAAAAACCATATCCCCCTGTATAAGCGCCTTCTCGACGCGACGTGTCCGATTCGACGCGTTTCATCGTGAAAATCAGCGGCGCGCGATCGCCGATACACACCCGACCATCGACCGGTCGGTCGGACATTTAGTTCGGTTCGCGGTTCCGCGGTGCCTCGTAGCGTCGTTATTCTTTCATCGCTCGCTTTCGCATATTCGCCGCGAAGAAGAGTGCCGCGAACTGAAAAGTGCGCTTGATTTACTGCGCTTGCGATGCCACCCCATCGCGCCTATGGAAAAAAATGTTTTTCACGCAAAATGAATAGGGGGGGGGGGGAAGAGCGAGAGAGGAAATATATTTTTCAAAACTCGTCGATATGTCACGTTAATATGAAACAATTTTCTCGAGTTTCGTATAAAAGCTGAAACCTTATTCATATATGATACAATAAACAAGATGTACTTTTGCAAAATATATTTTTGAGCATGGAACGAATCGGTTAGCAATTATGGTACGCCTGTTTGCATCTCGTAATATCACTTTCAACTTTGTTAAAAACCGAGATTTTTTATCTTTTACAGAAATAACATGATATTTATTATCACAAATATTTTACTTACATTCAAAGTTTTACTTTAATTACATAATAAATTTTAATTGGATATATTTCGCATAACACATTTTGTAATAAAACTCTACCTTTAAATATAAAAATATACGAGATTTAACTTCTCATAAACAAAATGAAAATATTTTTTAATATTCCGTAAATGTTTCAACATTTGAACAATAAGTTATAAGTTTCGCGATTTTCGTAATTATTTTTAAGTCTTAACTCTTTTCTTTTGCCTTCAATTTATGTTAAAACATAGATTTAGGATAGTATTTTCGATTTTTGTTGAAACAGAAGATAAAGAGCGAGAGAGAGAGAGAGAGAGAGAGAGAGAGAGAGAGGAGGAGGAAGAGAGAGAG